TAGAGGGGGTGGGTGGTTGGTGGTTTAAAGAAGTGTAGACTTTTGGTCAGTAGAAACTCAAATGAAGTGGGCAGTCGAATGTTTAAGAGAGTCAAAAATTCTTTTAACATGCTGTAATTAGCTTCGGTGCTTTGTTTGGGCCAATGTTAAGCTGCTCGCATAAGCGCACTAGATTTTGTTTCTGCTGTTGAGCTTTGGTTCCTTCTACGATTATATGATTAGGATCCAAATACAGGGAAGGCAAATGAGAATTCAAGAATCTGATTTACCGCAATGGAAATTCATATAAAACAATGTAAATTAAGAATACAAATAGAGGTTACTCTTGATGCAGAACTAGGATGACGAAATTTTTGTGTGTGAATCTTGAATATTGTGACGTGGTATGACTCGTCCACGTGGCCATATTATAATATAGTTACTGCAACTAGGTTCATTTGCTTAGTTGGATGACAGCGAATGTGTACAGCTGGAAGAGTGAACTACGTAGCTTTGACAAAATTGTCACGCAGGCTCTTTGCTGACATGTCAAGATATGGTCCACATGGACACATCGTGCCATCATTGCTGACGTGTCAAGAGATGGTGGTCCACTTGGACACAAGCGTTAAAAGAAGAGAACCTGCCCTTCACATAACGATGAAAGTTTTTAGTCTGAGAATCGGGAAGCAATAAGCCTTCGCAAAAGACAAGCGAATACTAGAAACAAGAAACGAGCACATGAAAAGCACATGAGAAAGCAGAGTCCAATCCAATGGCAACTTGGCAAGGGGTAACTTAGACGCGACGCACACAATTCATCAAAAAACTCCAAGTCCCAAGACATCCTTAAGCCTGCCATGAGAAGCCAAACTTTCTCTGTTTTTGATGAAGTAACTAACCACACAGAGATCTGAGCAAACCAAAACCACCGCCCTTTCCTTCTTATATATAGCCCTAAACTCACATTGTTCCCAACCACAACAGCAAACGACAACTTGTCACCTGAAGCCTTGCCTTGAGATGGTGGTATTTTATCCAACCCAAAAGCAACAAACCCTAACCAAAACACAGCTCATGATCAGCAGCTACCATAGCCACACTCTGTTACCAAACCAGTGTGGCTCGAGCCTTGTCCAAACCATCGACGCGCCGCTGCCCCTGGTCTGGTCCGTCCTCCGCCAATTCGACAACCCTCAAGCCTACAAGCAGTTCATCAAGAGCTGCAGCATGCGTGCCGGCAATGGAGGCATCGGAAGCATCCGGGAAGTCGTGGTTAAAACCGGCTTGCCGGCGAAAAACAGCATGGAGAGGCTGGATGAGCTCGACGACAACATGCATGTCATGCATTATAGCATTGTTGGTGGAGATCACAGGCTTGCAAATTACAGTTCTACCACTACCGTGCACAGAGAAGAGGAAGGGAAGGCTGTTGTGATTCAGTCGTATGTGGTGGATGTGCCTGCCGGGAGCAGCGAGGAGGACACTTGTTTGTTTACTAATACGATCATAGGCTGCAATCTTAAGTCGCTGGCTAAAGTCACAGAAAAGATGGCTGCTAATAATTAATTAGCTTGTAGGCTTAAAGGTTTTTAATCTTTCTTCGGTTAGAGGTTAAAGCTGGTAATTGTAATTACTTATTTGAGAGTTGAGAAGGTTAGCTTCCCCATTTGGCTTGTTAGATATTTTGTGCATGGGTAGTGCGGTTGATGATGACTTCTTTCTTGTTGTAATAAATATGTGATTTTACAGCTACTCTGCGCGTTACGAAACTTCATATGATAGTATACATTTTACTGGGAATCAACTTTATTTTCACTCCAATTCCTTAATGAGAACGTCTCACTCCGGTTCATGCTTATTCCGATTCATTCACATTCTGATTCTTACTTACTTCGATTTCTGTTTAGTAAACATGTCATTTTCCGCTTTATTTTTGTTTTTGCATATTGACGATGGCCAAGGAAACACCTAGTATCTCACTGGGCCATAAATCATGAAATGCATATAAAACCCATCACTATTTTTTAATTCAAGAATGGAGAGAGAGAGAGCGTGACATTATATTAGATCTAGCCAATACCAAATCATTATTATAATATAATGCGGGGCTCTAATATAAAACATTTGTTGGGGTTGTTGTAACCCGGCATATAGTTTATTCGAAACCCTTGACAATTAGCATCAAATGTTTATATATGCTTGAAATCATTTTTGGGATTTCCTCAGTACATATTATGACAGACAGAGGGCCACCAAGTCAGGAGAATGCAACCTAACAGTTTACTGCAAGTTAGTTACGTACGAGACCAGCAGATGGTTCACGCTAGAGCTTCGATTTTTATTATCCACTAGTATTCTGTTCTCCTAGTCGCGGCTGCACCTGTACCATATAAATATGAACAAAGTTTTCCAAACCAAAATCAATCAGATAACTACAAATACATCAATGGGGCGGTCGTATCATATTTATACAAATATATTAATATATATTGTTATTCTCTTGTACAGACGTTCGCACGTTAATAACGCACGAACGTTATTGTAAATAGGGAGAAAAGCAGAAAGAGATAGTAAAAAATATAAGGCGTTAGTTATTCTCCTATACAAACATCCGCACGTTAATAATGTATGGACACCATTGTAAACATGGAGAATAGCAGGAAGGGATAATAAAAATACATGGTGACCGCACAATATTGGAAGAATGTCTCTCAAATCCGCCCCAAATCCCTAAATTTTCTATTTTAAAAAATTTATTACACCTTATAACAAAATAAACCTGTAATAAAAAATTCTCGTCGTGCATACTCTTCAAATTGATTGAATATGGGAAAGCCAAGTTATAAGAACATAGTCAGAACAACTAAGAAATTGAGAGAGAAAGCAAACTAGAAGCACCCAAGTACAAAATTCGTGATAACCCCAAGAACCGAAATCAGATCCCAAGATCAAATATTTTTTCACAAATTTATACCTTGTAACCAAAATATTTATTACGTTTTACTTGTTATATTATATTATATATTTATTAATTTAAAAATAAATATAAGTTATCTGGTTGAGTTTAAGAATAGGATAACAATACGATTCCTGGCCCGTCATCGACTAAGAATTTTTAAAATTCAGGAATTCCCGTACCCACCTCCGATTTTTCCCGAACTTTCACCCCATTAGGGTTGAGTACTCGATCCTTTGGGAATTTTTACCATCCCCACGTCTGTATAGGAGAAAATATATATTTATATTGCTAGGAGACTCTTTGTGCAGCTCCAACTCCAATCTTAAAGATAAACTCAAATACCCACGTGGAAGTTCACATGGTACACTTGTACTTGTGACGTAACAATGTTAAAGATAATAAAAAGAAATAATCAACCATATGGATTGAGGCGGTGCGTCTAACTGGTTTGTAACTCGCTCTGTTTTTATATTTTACTCTCTGGCTCTGTTTTTCTTAATTTGATATTTGAACTTCAGTTTTAGTTAATTACTATCATGTTAAAGATAATAAAGACAATCAACTAATTCGTTTGTTTGTAATCTGAGTTATGATTGTCCAGTCTGAGAGTTTGCAGGACAAGGTTTATGGGAATTTGGGAAACTTCACCTGTAATTAGTAGCTAATGACACAAGAAATATATAATTACAAAAGAACACCAGGAGGATACAGTTTTGCTCCGATTTAGTTTGTATCTTGAGATCCTCTTGGTAAGATACAAAAGTCAAAGTGCTCCAAAATACTTATTGTTGACCTTTACCACCTTGCAGGCCTAGTTGCTAAGCCTTTTCGACCAAAAACAAAAAGTTGCTAAGCCTAGCCTGCATTGCATTGACTGTGTATGGGCCTAAATGCAACCCTCATTCACCAAACCTAATTTTACTTCTTTCTTGGGCTGAACATATTGATCTTCTTCTTCTTACTTACCCCTTTATTTATCTAATTGTTTTAAAGTTTCAAACTTTGAAAGCTTCATAGACGGTACGGTTGAATGGTAGGTCTCTCTGCTTCCAGCCTGCCACTCTCAAGTCAAAGGGTCTGAAGAACAGACGGGTAAGGATTTCCAGACCACAACACACCACCAACAAATCTTGGTGCTTCAACAAATAAATTAAAAATTCAGGTATTCTTGACAGCAAGTTGGTTTCTTGTCCTGTTTAGAATTAAAGAAAGAAGATTTTATTGTGGGAAATGTTCTAATTGACTGGTAGGTTCAGCCCTGCAGCTGGCTAGGTGACCTTAAATACATTACAATGGAGATGGATCAAAATCAAGCATCTTTAGTGGAAACCCAGTTGAGGAACTCATGGGTTCCCACAAAATTGAGCTGGCTTTTGCTTTCTTCATCTGGGCGTTACTGGCATGCTTATCTTCTTGCAATACCTTCCCAAGTGAATACTCCATAGTGGAGCAAAATGAAGTGCTCAACAACTTCCCTGCAGAAGAGAGAGTTGTGGAGCTCTTCAGGCTCTGGAAGCAGAAGCATGGAAAGGTGTATAGGCATGCTGAAGAGAGTGAGAGGAGGTTTGAGAATTTCAAGAGGAACCTCAAGTTTGTATTGGAGAAGACTGCAAAGAAGAGGGCTGCAAACAATGCACATGATAGCCAGAGGGTGGGGTTGAATAGGTTTGCTGATATGAGCAATGAGGAGTTTAGGAAGACTTACTTGTCTAAAAAGCTGAAAATGCCCACCAGCAAAAGGAACAATATGATGAGGAGAATGCATGAAGAACCAGTGCATTCATGTGAGGCTCCTTCAGCTTTGGATTGGAGGAAAAAGGGAGCTGTGACTGGTGTCAAGGACCAAGGCAGTTGTGGTATGTTTCAAATCATTTATTTCATTTGCTAGTAAATACATTTCAATTTTTTTACAAGTTCATATAAATAGTTCTTCTGACTATTGTTGTGGGAACACTTTGGACTTGTAAAAGTCAGACACCAGAATGTTTATGATTTCTCCCTGTAGATTGATTCAAAAGGTTTTAGGACAGATGCACTAGACCATCATTGGTTCTTCTAATCAGCTCGGGATTACACAGACTTTCGTGCTGCAGCACTGCTGCTCTGAATAGGTTCAGATACATAAACTTTAGGATGAAATATAACAGAATTGGTTGAAAAAAGGCGTAAACAATCTGAACTTCGAGCAATAAGTGAGGAAAGAAATGAAACACAACCAACTTTGAGGTCAAAAGAAATCTTCCAATAAAACGGGAGTTTTTAGATTCAACCAATAGAATAGATGAAATGAACTTCCAAATGAGGCCAAGATCTTTAGAACTCATCCTTCATTGACTATTTGGTATCGCCCACTTTCTACAATCAATCGATGATATCAAAAGTCACATGGTCAGGATGTTAAAAGATTCTTTAGAGACTTTTTTTTCCAAAAACTTGTTAGGTAGTAAAATAACAATATAGCTTTCAATCTCAGGATATTACATTTACAAATGTCTTGCAGTGCTCGCTTTTACTGTTTTATTGAACAGACCATTTTTCTTACAAAACTGATATTTGATGATACTGTTCTTCTTCTTCTTCTTCTTTCAATTTTGGAAAACGGCATATCATGCTTGGTGCTCCTAAGTTATAAACGACATGTCCTGTCTGTAAATTGACACTCATGCTAAGTTTTATTGATCTTTTAAAGAAATCTTGTTTTTGTGTTCACAGGAAGTTGCTGGGCATTCTCTACAACCGGAGCTATTGAAGGAATCAATGCAATAGCCACCGGAGAACTCATTAGTCTTTCAGAACAAGAACTTGTGGATTGTGACAGTACCAATGAGGGATGTGATGGAGGCTACATGGACTATGCTTTTGAATGGGTTATTGACAATGGTGGTATCAATACAGAAAAAAATTATCCATACACAGGTGTGGATGGTACCTGCAATGTCACCAAGGTGGGGTTCAACCCTATAGCTTATTAATAATACATATTGTGTTTGTCCGGAACAAATTTTGCCTATTTTCCTCTGTTCTTATTTGTGTGATGCCTTAATCAGGAGGAAACTAAAGTTGTCACCATTGATGGTTATGAAGATGTGGGAGAAACAGACAGTGATCTTTTATGTGCTACCGTTCAGCAACCCGTTAGTGTTGGTATAGATGGTTCTGCGTGGGATTTCCAACTATACACAGGAGTAAGTCTAATTTATGTTCATTTCACTGGTTGGCTTGGTTATCTGAAATGTTACTGAGACATAATTTTAATAATAATAAAATTAATATGATTCAATCAGGGAATCTACGATGGCGACTGCTCCGACAATCCAGATGACATTGACCATGCACCTCTGGTCGTAGGATACGGTTCCGAAGGCGATGAAGATTACTGGATTGTAAAGAATTCATGGGGGACTAGTTGGGGGATGGATGGATACATTTACATAAGAAGGAACACTAATTTAAAATATGGGGTTTGTGCAATCAATGCCATGGCTTCATATCCTACCAAGGAGTCATCTGCACCATCCCCAACAGCTCCACCACCACCTCCTACACCAGTGTCACCACCCCCTCCACCAACACCACCTACACCAGTGACACCACCGCCACCTCCCTCTCCTTCACCAAGTGACTGCGGAGACTTCTCCTATTGTCCAAGTGATGAGACATGCTGTTGCCTCTTTGAATTCTTGGACTACTGCCTCATCTATGGTTGCTGTGAATATCAAAATGCGGTTTGCTGCACCGGAACTGACTACTGTTGCCCAAGTGATTATCCCATTTGTGATGTTGAAGATGGTCTCTGCCTCAAGGTATGGAAATTCTATCATTGTTTCATTTCAATATCTATTTGGTGTTTAACACTGAAAACCAACATTATAGTGTACTTCGCAAGTTGCATACTAATACTTAACCTAATGTAGCAAGTTATGAAGCATATTAGAAAAGGGAAAAAAGTCGTCAAGTGTATACAGAATCATTTCCCTTACCTCTCAAAGTAGATACATAGAATCAATAGAGCCGGCCGTTAAACTAATAACTAATGTCTCTCGTATTTTCATTACACAGAATGCGGGAGATTTCTGGGGAGTATCTGCAAAGAAGAGAAAAATGGCCAAGCACAAGCTCCCATGGACTAAAGTAGAGCAAACAGAGAAGACATACCACCCACTGCAGTGGAAGATGAACCGGTTTGCTGCAATGCGCTGAAAAAGGGAAAGGAAGTTATTGTTTCTGTGAAGTTTGAAGAAGGTTGTCACTATTGGTAGTTAAATTTGTGTAAAACAGGCATTTGTTCCACCTGTTTTTTTTTTTGTTGACATATGTTCTTGTGAACATTGATTCATTGAACATATGCTGTAAACGAAACCTGAAACAGAAACATATTTGAGAAAAGTGATTTTTCTCTGCGTGATGCAATGGACGGAATAATTTGATCGATTACAGCTAAGTTTGATGTATTTTATTTTCCAATCTTGTAGCAGATAAGGTTCAAGACAGACTGAACAATTGTTGTCCTGGCTTTGTAATATATGTATGGTCTTTATACTAACCTGTTGTACTAATTGCCATTCTTCTAGCTCAACAACAATTCTAAGCCAATCAAAAATTAGAAAAAATACATGTAGCTGAAAACTACCTTGTCACAGCGCGTCATACTCAGCTACAACAGAGAGTACTTCTACTAGACAGATTTTCTTCCTTGACAAAGGACCTGAGGGTCCTATTGGTAATTTATGAGACTCAATTGGAGTTGCAGATTGCCTTTCCTCCTATGATCTTACTGTGGACTTGGGCTGCCTGCCATGTTATTGCTGAGCCCTTTGCTGCTACTGCAAGAGTTACTTTCCTGGCTGATGATATTGAGTTTTTTTTCTTTTCCATCTATTCTTTATTAAATAAAAACCTACTTGATTCATATATCAGAAAGAAAAAAAAAGTTAAATGTACTTTCTTGGTATACAAGAGTAGATTTGTAGACGTGTAAAACTAGGAAATAAGTTCAAATAATTGTCTAATTATGAACAATCATCCTAATTATAATCACCTTAATCATTCTATCTGCTTAATTGCAGGTAGTTAGAATAAAATCATTATCAATCTGTTTGAACCAATATCTTCCAACATCTTGTTCGCACGATACTTTTATTTACATAAATTTTTTTACAACAGAATAATGCACTAATAACAAAAGTTACCGTCATCACAATGAGACTAACCACGACTTGGTAACGAACTCATCACAAATATTATTCTCTTCCATCTGCACGAGTCGAATTCAAACCTTTTGTTTTGACAACTCATTTGCTACTTCAATTAAATTGTTGTAACAAGGCAGTAACATGGACCGACGAAGATACGGGACAGTCCCACTTCCTAATCGAATGTCGAATGCCCGTAATGTTCGGTTGACCCAGTCTAATTACCAAAAAATCCCCAATTAGGAATAACTTTTGGTCTATGGGGTGTCCTCCGCAATTTAAGGGCACTTTAGAAAAAGGCATTGCTGATTGACAATCTATTTTTATTGAACTTACCATGTGGCTCCTCTACCATATCATCTGTTATGCCATGTATTTTGTAGACATATGAGACCCAGAAAATAATTCTACTTTTTTAAGTTTCAAATTTCAACAACCCAACTTTGACATTGTCCCAAAAAGCAATCTTGCCGTCCGGAGATGAAAGAAAAGACGGAAGGGAAGTTGTGAGAGAAAGTCGCATCATCCATCACATGGCAATGGGTCCAAATATGCTTTCATTTTCCACTTTCATGATGAGGCTCTATGAGCGACACACACTGCCTCGTCAAATCATTTGAGTTTCCATTACATTTTCAGAGCTTTTCTCCTAATTTTCTTTTTCACCACGGCATGTTTGGCGTTGCTGTACTGTGAAAATAATGTCTGTTAGATTTGTGGTGAGAGAAATCAGTTGTAAGAGAAAACAATTTGGCTGTATGAGTAAAATTTTACTCATAATCAGAAAATGATTGCCGCATAATCATTAAACTCAACAAGTCTTCAAAATTGATTTCTGCATAATCAGAAAATGAAAGCACCTAAATAGCTGCTTTTCCTTATAGCTTTCTCTCACATCAATTTTTAACAATAAGCGATTTTCTCACAGTTTATCAAACGGGTTGGGCTTCTCAATTTTTTTTTAAAATCACTTATCATCCCAAATAAACAATGCCAAACTGATACTTAAACTGTAAATTTAATCGATTAAATTTTGATTTAGTAAAAAAAAAAACAAAAAAGAATGATTGAGTATGATTTATAAAGTTGCCACGCGGACAAGGAGTGAGAGAGTGGACTGAAAAGTCTGAAAGTTGAAATAATAAATAAATAAATAAATAGGTGGGTCAACTAAATTTGGCAGGATTGAAGAAATGAAAGAAAGGAAAGAGCTTTGGATCAGCAACGGTCTATGTTTCGCAGCCGTAATGTCCGTGACCACACCTCTTCTCCTCCAAAGGTCTCAATCCCGATTTAATTATTTTAGGCTTTCATAAATAACCCAGCAAGAATAAAAGGATGAATAAAAATCCCCATAACAAGAAAGATTGAAAGATCAAAACTTTATAGAGGAGGAGGGGAGGGGACCACGTTTCTAGGAACGAGCAAGCAAGCAAAGCAAGGCAAAACAGAGCAAAATGATCAAATGTACCGTACAATGTTACAATGCAGTATAGCAGCCAGCAGTAGTTTTATCTTCTGCATGTGTTTGGTCTTAGTCTACTTTACTCTCTCTCTCTCCTCTGTTCCGACAATCCATATACACTCCTCGAAAAGTTAAAAACCACATACTCAGCTTCTTCCACCTCTCTCTCTCTCTCTCTCTCTCTCTCTCATCCTTTGGCTTTGCTTTTCTTTGGTTACACTCATTCCCCAAACTCTACGGCATCATTCTCGGAGCCAAATATCAGCAGGCTCAAATCAATCTCTCTCTCTCTCTCTCTCTCTCATGCTGTGAGTGCCTGAGAGGTATGCCTCTTATCTTCTTCAATGAACTTTTATTTTGATATGGTTGTTTAATGACCAATGGTGTTATTAACTGTAATGAATTTAACTTGCAGAAATACTTTTTTCGGTTTTCTGGGTAATTCTGGGTTTTATAAGTTTTATTTGATATAGTTGTTTGTTTCTTTGAAATGGGGGGTTCACAATAAAGTTTCTTCTTTTGGCTCTCATTTCAAGGTTACTGTTTGTTAGATCTTATTGATGGAATTGTGATGAGGGTTGCAGATTGTTGTTGTAAAGGTTAATTCTTTCTTCTTGGCCAGAACTAGTAATTCTTTTGGTTCTGAGACTCTGTCAGAGTAGGTAAAAATCAGTTTGTCTACCAAATGCTTTTCTGTTAGTTATTTATTCATAAATCCCAGCACCTACTGACTGTCTTTAAATTATTGGATTTGGCTTGTCTGTATAGTTGTTAATGTTTTTATCAACTGCTTTTCTGTTTTGTTTTTTGTTGTTCAAATGTTCTTTCCAGTCATATCTATTACAAGTAGCATAACTGGAGTTGAGCATGCTAGTTGATATAAACTCTGGTTTGTTTTAGTGATTTTATTCTTCTCCGTTTCAGGATTTATTTCAATTCGGATGGTAAGGGATTTACCATGATCTTTTATGCCATCCCTGTTGTTAGCAATTGAAGCTTCTTTCTCAGTTGGTGAAATTTGAAAAATAGAGGGATTGAGCAGAATTGGTTTGACCTGAATTAAGATATGGAGGAAAGAAAATTGAATTTGAATGCACGATTTTTGTCTGTGAGACGAATTGCTACAACAACAGTGTGCACAGATGGAGAGAAAGAGAAGATAATTCAGAGGCCCGATGGACGACATACTCTTCCACCTTACAAATCAGACTTTTGTTTGGAGCAGGTAACAGAACCAGTTGCAGTTCCTTTTCACTGGGAGCACATCCCTGGAAAGGCTAAGGAAGATAAAGAACCGGAGACTCAGCCTCGGGAGAAGACGTCTGTCACTCCTAGGCTTCCCCCTGGGAAGCCTATAGATTATGTTACAAAGCAAACTTTAGAAAAGGATCATGCAGATCGAAATGGGATTAGACCTCAATTTAAATCATATTCTTTGAACGAAAATGTGATGGATTTGAAGTGCTCAAAAGAGAAAACAAATGAGAGAAGGGCCTTGGAAGTGGAGGATGAGGATGATGTTTATTCGGATGCACTTGAGACGATTTCCCCTACAGAGTCTTTCTCCTTCAACTGTAGTGCAAGTGGTCTGAGTCAATCTGATGGTGCAGATGTAAAGCAATCTAGAGCCTTCTCTGTGGATTTGCAAACTCGAGATTTGATGATGAGTCGCTTCTTACCTGCAGCCAAGGCAATGGCTTTGGAGACACCTCATTATGCTGCAAAGAAGCAATATATAGCACCTGAACAACCAAGACAAGTCACAAGGGTAATTCGTGAGGATATCAGGCCTTTATCTAATGAACAAGGGTCTCACATGGAACTGCAATATGACCAATATAAAGAGGAGGAAGAAAGTGAAGGAGAAGATGATGAGTATGATCCCTCTGGCTCCATTTCAGCAAAGGGTTGTGGATTATTTCCTCGGTTGTGCTTAAGAAATTCTTTATGCCTCTTAAGTCCAGTTCCAGGGATGAAAGGTAGGACCCGGGCCCTCATGTCTTCCTCCTCTGGGGTTATAAGACCAGAAAAAACTACTTGTGGTCGGTCTCACAGCCAACCACTCAACAAGGTTAGTAGGACACTTTCGTGTCTCTAGTTTTCTTTCAATTTTTTTGTATCCAATAACTAGAAGAAATCATATACAGTACTGACAGTCTTGTACTATTTTAATTAGCATGCTTTGGATGCTGCTTATAAGCACAAATCAAAAGGTGGAGTCAAATCAGGTGAATTGCACAAGTTTGAGAATAAGAAGGCTGGTGAATCCAGTCGCTTTTCACATTCTGGTGATCTAAAGAAAGGGAGGTCATCTCCCCTGAGGCATTCACGAAGTGCTTGCATATCCCCCTATCGAAATGAAGCACCTTCTGGAGTCAAATCAGGTGAATTGCAGAAGTTTGAGTATAAGCAGGCAGGTGAATCCAGTCTCTTTACACGTTCTGGTGATCTGAAGAAAGGGAGGTTATCTCCCCTCAGGCATTCACGAAGTGATTGCATATCCCCATATCGAAATGAAGCACCTTCTGGAGTCAAATCAGCTGAACTGCAAAAGTTTGAGTACAAGCAGGCTGGTGAGTCACGTCGCTTTTCACATTCTGGTGATTTAAAGAATGGTAGGTCATCTACCTTCAGTAAATCACGAAGTGCTTGCATATCCCCCTATCGACATGAAGCACCTTCTGGAGTCAAATCAGGTGAATTGCAGAAGTTTGAGTATAAGCAGGCTGGTGAGTCCAGTCGCTTTTCATATTCTGGAGATTTAAAGAAAGGTAGGTCATCTAC